GTGTGTGTGTGTGTGTGTGTGTATGAATATGTTCATGTAGGTGTATGTGTGTGCGTGTCTGTGTCTGTGTCTGTGTTTGTGGTTGATATTGGTGGTCAGTGTTTGTGACTGCTGTTTGTGTGTGTGTGTGTGTGTGAATGTGTGGGTTTATTTGTGTGGTTGTGTTTGACTGTGGGTGTACTGGTGTTTTGTATGTTGTTGTTGTTTTTGAGAGTGATTGATTGTTGATTGAGGAGTATACGATGTGATTGATGTTGATAGTGATTGTTGTGGGTGTTCGGGCGTCCGGCGATAGCTCAGTTGGTAGAGCGGAGGACTGTAGATTGGTGCAGTGATCCTTAGGTCGGTGGTTCGAATCCGCCTCGCCGGAGCTGGTGGGCTTTTGACCCATCGGACAACCACCAGTCACACCAGGCTGCTTTCTCCGCCACAATCGAGTAAATCAAGCCATCAGTCTGGACATCACCGTGTGTCCTGCCCACACATGTCTCAGACCATGCGTCACCCCACCGAATTTACACTCCATCGCCTATTTTTCTCGTCGTCACATGGGAACCCTGAGTGTCGACCACCCGCCACACCACCAATGCATTCACTACTCACGCTTCTATCTCTCTCTCCCCCCCCCCACACACACACACATCCTCCTTCTATTCGCATAATCACCACTCCGAACTACACCACACTGGAATATTATTATCACAAGCTCACTCATCTCGTGACGCGATCATCATAGTCATCATCTCGATGGTGCGTGTCTCATCCTACTCAGCTGCAATGTCACTACTCAGTGGGCATTGACGGCGCCGGTGGTGCATCGGTAGACTTCTCGCCAACCACTCATGTGGTTCGCGGTTCCATCCCCAGTCGACGCACTCCTAAACCTCGTGAAGCCGCTAATAGGACTGGTAAAGTAGGACGGATGAGCGTGAAGCAACTATCAACCTCACCCCGTGAGAATCAACATCACTGCTACCGAAACTTCAAAGCTCTAGCTTGAAGACCTATGTTCGACTAGGCCCGCAAATCAATAAGGTAGATAGGATAGCCAGTCGGAGAATTCACCTGGGCAATGTGGCTAACCGTTGGTTAAATGGGTAGTTTTGATGGGCGAATAGGTGGGCAAAAGATGGTGTAAATGCGACATAATTTGCCCACTTTACCCATATTGGCCACTTTTGCCCCGTTTTCCCATGTCCGGAAAAATCCAATTGTCCCACATTTTCCCACTTTACCCATGTCATTCTCTGAAATAGCCGACTTATTCCCACTTCACCCATGTTACAAGCGAGAAGAGCCCACCTATTCCTACTTGGCCCAAATTTCAACGGAATACTGCCCACATATTTACCCACAGATCCCAGGTCCGAGAAAAATTAACCGACTGGGATAGAGCATTGACCAGATAGACGGGTGGGTGAGTGGTTGGTGAGGGCGAAGTGGCTTCAATCTACTCAGCTTGTCGTTGTTATTTAGTGAAGGCTGTTTTCTCACATCGAATGGTGGTCACACAGATGATGGATTATCCATGAGTAGTCTGCACTTGTGTGACTGTGTCTTCGTGTCAGTTTGCGTTCGTTTGCATTGAATGTTTGTTTTGGGTTGAGGAGATTGGCAATAAATAGTCAGTGTGTATTTGTCGTGATTGGAGAGGAATTTTGAGTGAAAGGGTGGCGGCGAGGCTTGATGTTGGACACTCGGTCAGGATGGGAATACTCCTCCTCGTGTGAGTGTGTGTGTGTGTGTGTGTGAGTGAGTGAGTGAGTGAGTGAGGAGTATTTGTGTATTGGTGAGTGTTTCGGTGGACACTGAGAAATTGTTAGTGTTGTGTATGTATGTGTTTGTGGTTGTGTTTGCGTGTGCGCTGTGTGAATGTTCGTGCTGCGTATGTACCTGTGTGTGTGTGTGTGTGTATGAATATGTTCATGTAGGTGTATGTGTGTGCGTGTCTGTGTCTGTGTCTGTGTTTGTGGTTGATATTGGTGGTCAGTGTTTGTGACTGCTGTTTGTGTGTGTGTGTGTGTGTGAATGTGTGGGTTTATTTGTGTGGTTGTGTTTGACTGTGGGTGTACTGGTGTTTTGTATGTTGTTGTTGTTTTTGAGAGTGATTGATTGTTGATTGAGGAGTATACGATGTGATTGATGTTGATAGTGATTGTTGTGGGTGTTCGGGCGTCCGGCGATAGCTCAGTTGGTAGAGCGGAGGACTGTAGATTGGTGCAGTGATCCTTAGGTCGGTGGTTCGAATCCGCCTCGCCGGAGCTGGTGGGCTTTTGACCCATCGGACAACCACCAGTCACACCAGGCTGCTTTCTCCGCCACAATCGAGTAAATCAAGCCATCAGTCTGGACATCACCGTGTGTCCTGCCCACACATGTCTCAGACCATGCGTCACCCCACCGAATTTACACTCCATCGCCTATTTTTCTCGTCGTCACATGGGAACCCTGAGTGTCGACCACCCGCCACACCACCAATGCATTCACTACTCACGCTTCTATCTCTCTCTCCCCCCCCCCACACACACACACATCCTCCTTCTATTCGCATAATCACCACTCCGAACTACACCACACTGGAATATTATTATCACAAGCTCACTCATCTCGTGACGCGATCATCATAGTCATCATCTCGATGGTGCGTGTCTCATCCTACTCAGCTGCAATGTCACTACTCAGTGGGCATTGACGGCGCCGGTGGTGCATCGGTAGACTTCTCGCCAACCACTCATGTGGTTCGCGGTTCCATCCCCAGTCGACGCACTCCTAAACCTCGTGAAGCCGCTAATAGGACTGGTAAAGTAGGACGGATGAGCGTGAAGCAACTATCAACCTCACCCCGTGAGAATCAACATCACTGCTACCGAAACTTCAAAGCTCTAGCTTGAAGACCTATGTTCGACTAGGCCCGCAAATCAATAAGGTAGATAGGATAGCCAGTCGGAGAATTCACCTGGGCAATGTGGCTAACCGTTGGTTAAATGGGTAGTTTTG